TTTTTAAATTGACCCCAAAAGTAGTTGTTTTGTACTTTAAATAAGAGAAAAATTTTATACATGGTTAAAAAAAAGGGGAACATGATATTTTATTAGACATTTATTATAAAAAAAAAGCATTTTATGATTAAATTTTTCTCTCGTCAAAATATCCTCCATTGGCACAAATTTTTGGCATTGATTGCAAAAGTTTCTCAAAGTATAAGTTTGATAACTGATTCCATTCTTTTTTCAATGAGTCTAAGAGTTCTTTTTCATTTTTTTTTTTCAATCTTCTGTCAAGTTCATCCAATGCTAATTCTGGGAGTGGCTTTAAAATTTTGAACTGTAGGGTACATGTATAACATTTACTTATATTAATTATATATATATATATACATATATATATAACTAATATAAGTAAATGTTTATCATTTCGCTGATTGATGTTACCTTCAGCATCCCAATTCCAGGGTTTCATAGGCAGGCACATCTGTACACTCTTCAGGGCGTATCATCAATTGACTGCTTATATTTTTTTTATTTATTCTTTGTTATGCACTTATAATCAGTGTAAGTTTTTTCCATATTGTTTGTGTACATCTATGCATTTGCACATGTGCAGCCATGTGCCCATCTGTGCAGATGTATATTCATGAACTTGTGCTCACATCTATGGTGTTGTGTTCATTTTTCCTTTTCTTAATTTTTTTTTTTTTTGCGTTTTTTTTTGTTTTCCACTTTACACTCACTTCTTAGCTTTTCTTCTTTTTTGGCTTAGGAAAGTTGTATTTCGCTTTTTGCATAAATAGTTGATATTAATACTCAAATGATATGCAATATAATTGGCCCTATTCTGGCATCTCGTCTACAGTCGCTCTCTCACAGACATGCCATCGCCTCTCTCTGTCTTTTTTACAAATACTTTTATGGTAATTGCTCCAAGGAGCTGCATTCACTGGTTCTCAGACTTCATGAATTCAAGCGCCCTATGAGGCTGACATCCTACTCTCACCCTTTCACTGTCAAAACTACTAAATGTAGCCATCTCTTCTCCTCCAATAGCTTCATGTCTCGCACCTCTCACTTGTGGAACTCCCTTCCCTATTCCAGTTTCGCTGAGAGCTATAATCTCTAACTATCCAAATGTAATGTCAGTCGACATCTCCAGTTGCCTTGATCTATCCACTATCCTTCTCCTCATCCTTTCCTCTATCACTCCTATCTGATCTTGCTCCAAATCTTCTGTAACCCCTTGCTCCTTGCTTGGGGTGAAACGCTTAAAAAATATATATATAATCTTCACTTGGCTATTATTTCATTTTCTTATTTGATTTAGTGGTATCTTAAGTATTATAGGAGGTTGGATTTATAATTAAATTTTTATTTATTATTGTTTGAATTTGTGTGCATATACCTGTATTTATATGCTTGTGCATATGCACACACACATTCATGCATGTATGTATATAGATATACACATGTGCACATATAAATGTGCAAACATATGTACATGTACAATTGTGTCTGTGCTTTGTTATTAATATACTAGTGCTTAGATGGTAAAGTTATTTTTTCTTTGGAATGATTATATTTAATGGATTGCTAAGTCTACTTCTAGGAAAGTTGATTCATTATGTTGTGCTAGACATTTTTTCTCACCAGAAATTATTTTACGCAGTCATACATTTACCATTCATCCTTGCATTGCATTGATTGCTGCCATACCTGGTCTGGTGCTTCTATAATCAGAGGTTCTTGGTAAAATCCAAAGATAAATCTACAATAGAATTGGTCCTGACCTGACATATTGGCTTCAATCACTTTCCTACTGTGCTTCCTTTTGCCCCTTCTAGAAATATTTTCATGTTACCTGGATTTCATGAATTTAAGCGGAGTACTAGACTGGCATCTATCTCGACTCATTTTATTGTTCAAATCGCCAAGTGTAATTTAGTTTTATGTTAATATTTTTTTCTCCTGCACTTCTCACTTGAGAAATTCTCATTTAGCTTCCTGCTTTCCTATCAATTACAATCTTTAAAAATTTAAATGTAATGTGTCAATCATCATCATCTGTCTTCTATTCTTTTATTGTCCTCTTTATTAATCTCATCCTAGTCGCTTTTGTCACCTTACGTGGTGTGAAATGATTAAAACAACAGCAGAAATTTATGATGATTCTGGATTTCATCTTATTGTGATGAGAGTAAAAGTGTTTAAGGTCATTTTTATACATTGATTTTTGGTGGACCTTTAGTTGTATATTGTCACGGGTGCTGATTAACATGACATTGAGAAATGATAAAGTATTCACTGATTCTTTTGCATGAGTGAAATCAATTGTATGTTCTATACTGTTAAATCTTTTGACTAGTTTTAACATTGATGTATCATGGCGATAAGAGGAAAAATACATTGAAAACACTTTCAAACTCCTTCATTCATAAAGGATTTCCTTTATATATCCTCCTCAGTTTGTATTCAACTTTTACGATCAAAACATCCAGCAGTGTAAAAAGGACACTGACCGAAATCACTTGATCGCATTTTCTCCTAGTTTTAGTGTTGTTGTTTTTTAATATGGCATAGATTACTATAGAAATTCCAATTCTCAGATGCAAAAACAGTTCCAAAGTGAAATTGAACTATGGACCACTAAAATATTACAGTGGACCCCCAACTGATATTTTTTGTGTGGACCCCCACTAATGTTAAATGGACCCCCAGGGTTTATATGGACCCCAGTTGAGAACTTCTAGTTTAGGTAGCTGTGCCCTTCTTACTGATAAGTTTTTAAACATAAGTAAAAATTCAGACAAAAAAATGCTGATTTTTAAGACAAACCCTATCAACTTGGAAAACTAGTATTACCTATGACATATATTAATTGCTACATTTAGTAGTAAAAGCAAAATAAAATAAAAACTGAATGAAAATCATATAGTCTATTAATTTCTTATTAGTTACAGAATTTTTAATTTTATTATAATTCAGTTTATTCTTTACTTAGCACCAACATTACACCCTGCCAAAACCTCATAAATAATGAACTATTCTGTTTTGATTGCAAGGGAAGATGGAAGAGACATATCAGAGATGCTGTTTGGTTTCATTAAAAGAAAGGAAAGAGAGACGATGTAATAAAATTCTTATATGTTTCATATCAATGAAATGGAAAAGCTTGACAATTTGAAATCTTTTCATTTGTACCCCTTACTTTTAAATAATGACTTGGCATTCATATTTATGATTGCTATTGTAATATTTTTAAAGTTGTTAAATTCAAATATTTAATGATACAATAGGGAAATTTCCACATATATTTTGTAAACATGGAAAAAGAATAAAACAATCTATAGAAAGTAATAATCTGAAAAACCTGACAAAATTATCCACATAATTCTATCGACAGTATTTAAAGGAAACACTTGAGCTTCTTTGCACAAAAATGCCAGAAGCTTGCAAAAAAATAAGCTCATTCTTGGAGAAAGAACATTATAAACAAGCATATATTCCAGTAGCCAATGTTTTACACTGCATAAGGTAGAAGTGTACATTACTACTACTGGATAGCAATGAAAACAACATTCTTTTTAAGAAAGAAGTACAAGATATGTTTGTGGTCTATAATGGCAAGGAAAATGAAGACATCTGGTATCCAAACATTACAGATGAAGATCTCATGATGTTCACCTTTCACAAAGAGAGCAGTGAAGCATGCTGAAATGTATTTATTATAAGGGTGAATAATTAAAAAAAAAAAAAAACAAATGCAATATTTGATTGGTGATTTATACTCTTTGTTAAATATTCATTTGGACTATAGAAATGACTTACTTTCATTATATACTATTCTAAATATGGACAAGATAGGTATGTTTAATATGCAATTTTCATGTATATTTTCATATATATATGCATGAGTTTGAAAAATAAGGAAACTAGAACAGATTCTATAGAATTTTATAACTTTTCGTTTTTTTGTATTTCTGAGCAAAGGTGAGGAGACCTATATATCTATAGTTAATTATAAATTTTCTAGTTTTTCATGTTGTTTTCTATTATAAAAAAATAGTCTTGTAACCGTTTTACTATAAAACCTGTACCAGTCTTTCTATTATAAAAAAAAATAGTCTTGTAACCTTCTTTCTACTATAAAACCTGTACCATTCTTTCTAATATAAATAAAATCTTCAGTCTTGTAACCTTCTTTCTACTATAAAACCTGTACCATTCTTTCTATTATAAAAAAAATAGTCTTGTAACCTTCTTTATACTACAAAAAAAACACATTCTTGTAGCCTTTAAAAACTGCTTTGTTGTAAACTTCTGAAGTTTCTTCTATCCAACTGATTCAGTCATTAATTCAACAGTGTAAGTGATGGTGAATCATCAGCTTAGAAAAGCTAGAATCTGATTGTATCAAAATAATTACCAAATTTGATAAAGTTTAGCTTCAGTTGATCCAGTGGCTAATTTGAATATTCAAACAAACATGGCACTTCTGTGTAAAATACTCAGTTGGGAAGTATTTATAACTCATAAATATTTAATTTTGTTAATAGATTGATTTATGACTTTGGCAAAATTTTGTGATTTATTGTAAATATTATGGAATATTATCATTTCTACTGGGGTAAATATTTATCTGTTCTTCACACAAATTAATTTCTTTTTCTTTAACCATTCTTTTGGATTCTTCCTTTTCTTGTTCTTTTTTCATATTCTGTATTCTTCCTTCTTTGCTTCTTTCTTCAACTTTACCAGTTTTACCATTCCTATCATTTTTTTCTTTGTTTTTTTTTCCAACCCCTCTCTTGTTTTCTTAATCATTTTTTTTCATTCCATTTCTGTTTCCTTTTTTTTTCTTCCTATCATTTTTCATTCCTTCTCATTCTTTGATTTCCTTTCTTTTTTCATTTTACTTTGTTAACTCTCTTCTTTGTCTTTATTCTTTTTCTTTCTCTTTTCTTTAAATCCCTTTTTATTTTCCTCTCTTTCTTTTTCTTCTTGCAAAGCTGGCTTCCCATCTTTGTTCTCTCTCTCTCTCTCTCTTCTCAACTCTATTCTTTTCTTTTTTCTTTAACTTCTTCCTACTTTTCTTTAATATTTTTTATTTATTTATTTCAAGCACATCCCTAAACTCTACACTTATCTCCTTTGTTCTCTTTTTTTCTTTTACTCCACTCAGTCTTCTTCCTCTTCCTTTCTAAAAACCATTTACTCTCCATTCATTTTTATTCCTCATTATTCCATTCTATTAAACATCTCTAAACTCTCTTCTTTGAACCTTTAATATTTCATTATCCTTTCCATTTTCTTTTTCTGGTTATTCATTCTATTCCATCTTTTATACCTTTTTGCTTCCTCTTCTCTTTCTCTTTTCATTTCTTTCACTGTTCTTTTAGCTTTTCCTATTCTCCCTCTCTTTAGTCTCTTAATTTCTTTCTCTCTCTGTTTCTTTAGTTTTTTCTACTCTCCTCCTCCTTTAACCCTTCATTTCTTTCTCTCACTGTTCTTTTAGATTTTCCTACTCTCCTCCTCCTCTTATATGCCTTTATTTCTTTTTCATTTTCTTTCCTCCTGTTTTTATTTTACAGCCTTCTCTTTTTCTTCTCTCTCTTTCTATATATATATATATATATATATATACACGTGTGTGTATGTGGTTACTTCTCTTTATATCCTCTCTTTCTCCTTTCCTCCATTTACTTTTATCTCACTCTCTCTCTCCTATTGCCTCTTTCCTTTCATATCATGTCATCTTTTTCCTTTTTTCTTTATTGTATTTTTTCACTTTATCTTTTTTTTCTTTTCTCCCCTCTTTTTTCACTTCTTTCTCTAACCTTTCCTTTATTCATACTCTCTCTCTTTCAATATCCTCTCATTTCCACACCCTTTTCAGTCTTCCTCACTCTTCTTCCTTTCATTTCTCCTCATTACACCCTTCCTTGCACCTCCCCATTGTAATTACTGATATGAGAAATGCCTGTAGAACTTTTGACCTCTGTTCCTCCTTCAACTTCATCTCTCTTGTTTATTGATTCCTCTCTCTGCCCTCAGCATTGATTAACCTGATCAGTTAATATGCATTCCCCAACCTGCACCTTTAATATCATCTCTTCTCTCATCTCTATTAATCTCACATCCTATCCATATCAATCATTGATCTTTAACAATCATTTGAACTCACTCATCAACATTGCCCGTGGCATCATCACACTCCTAAGGCATGGTCAGTCATTTTTGCCATATTTCATATTTCAAGTCAGCTTTTATTCACTTTTATAAATTTGCATGAGGCTAAATTTTGTCTGTGCATCCCTACCTTACATCAACTGAACAAAAAAAGTAAATAAAATGAAAATAACACTGACATCTCATTTTAACAGATATATTTACCAAAATTATACAAAAATATCTTGAAATATTAAAGAGTAAATTTATTCAATAAAATTGCCATTGTCTTCAACCACGGCCTCCAGATGACTTCAGAATCTCCTGCATCTCTTCTGAACAGTCTCCTTAAGTTGGTGAATGCTGTCATAATCCTTGCCTTCAGTTTATCTTTGATGTTACAAGCAGTTTTCTTAGTCTCTCGCTCATCTGTGCCCCACACATAATAATCAAGGAATTTACAGTCAGGTGGCCAGATGTAATGGGTGATGTGGTCACAGAAATTGTCTGACAGCCATGATTGGGTTCTTCTGCTTGTGTTGCATGGTGCAGAGTCCTATTGCCAGACACAGGGTCTTTCAACAGTCACCATCTTGACTCATGACAGCACTACCTCCTCAAGACACTTGGCCTCCATGTTGAATCTGAGGCCCTGTGGGAAGATGAATGGAGACATAATATTGTCATCACTAGTGATCACTCTAAACACCTTTGTAATCACTATTAGACTCATATAACTCTTTCTGAATACTCTACAGTGTTCCCCGATTGACAACCAAACATTCTGAAATGTTTGTATTGTAGCTTCTGGTACAAATGCTAAGCAGTACAGTATGCCATTTCCAAATTTTTGGCAGATTGTATTGTGTCATGGTGCTCTTTTTTTCACAGATGGTGTCCAACTGACCCTACTATACTGTGCAGTTGACAAAATCAAAAATAAACAACATGCATGTGTGAAATTAAAAATATAAAATGGGGACAATTTACCCATCACACCCTGTATATGTGATGTATATATTGCATGTTACTAATAAATGGCATTTACAACATGAGCAATGGTAGCATATAATTTAATTTTTGATCCAAATACAGAATAGTGTATAGAAGATAGTAGAGAATAGTGGTCCAAATAATAATAGAGGATAGAATAGAAATAACAATCCAAATAGTATAAAGGATAGACTAGAAATGAAGATCAATTAGATGTCATGCTACATTCCATTTATGTATTTCATCTATGGTCCACTTAATACAATAATGGGATTGCCTGTGTTTTGCTCACTGGCTATCTATGTTCAAACTCAAGTGTCGGCAGTGACACTTTATTACTATATAACATATTTCATTCACACTGATATAGCGATTTTCTAAGTGAAGGTTAGATGTGGCACAATGACAAAAATATGGGGCACCCAGTGAGGATCAAACTTACTACTCATAATTGTTCTAGTGAGAAAAGATTGCTAACCATTACACCACATCAGGGTGTCCCCATTCACACTGATATGAATATATTTTCTTACGTCAATTTTTTTGTCATATTTCATATTTTAAATTTTCTTAATAATTTATGTCAAACCCTGAGATGTTGAATTATCATTATTATTCCAACTCGCATCTTTATCTAGATTGTTATAGCTAAAACATTTCAGCTATTGCACTCTTCAGAAGTGCTGTCATCATACTTGGAAACCTTCTTAAAATTTTTGTACCTAAGCTCTTTATCCAATCCATGGGGATAGATTGTTTTCCTTTTGGTCTCTATTCTTAAGTAATATTTCATATCAATTAATATACTCACCAGTTGTATTGGAATGAAAGTAGCCACAGCATCTACTCTGAATCCTTCATAAAACTCAGGATGTGGAATTATTAAATACTAAACACATCAGGTATTTCAGTGTTTGGATCAATTAACAAATTAAGTATAGGAGAAAACAAATTGAACCTAGAATAGGCTATGCCAGAGCTAGATTTGCTCAGTGGTGCAAATTGGTACAAAACCAAAGCATGAACCTGAAAACTCAAGTCATGTTCTTAAATAGCCTCATCAGATCAAGACTTTCATATAATTGTCATGCATGGTGCCAAACCTGTTCAGAAATATCTAAACTGTCCGCTGTCTACAACCGCTTTCTAAGATTGATGTTTAAAAAAGGCATTGAGTACATAAAGCCTGAGGGTCTTGGCAGCAACAACTAAAATGAATAGCACATGTAACTAGAAGAGAAAGTAATAACATAATCAAGATGTTAATATTCTACACCACTTCAAACAAAAGGTTAGGAAGGAAATCCCCATCAATATTGGAGAGAGCAATATCAGGACTTGAGAAACATTTTTTTTCCTAAAAGATTATTTTAAGAGAAAGATTTTATAAATTTAAACCGAAAATAGTATTTAGTGCTTGGTCAATGAATGCTAAATGTTTCCTTATAAGGAAACAGCTAATATTAACATTAATATTATTGCCATTTGTGTCATCACTTCTGCTTTTTCCATTGAACCAGAATATGAGACTTTTCAGCATTACCAAAGTCAGGGACTGAACTCTCAACTCCCAAAGAACCAGATATATTTTAACCAACACTTTAATCTACTAGGCTATGTCACTCCAGGAAAAAATTCCAACAAGATTACCGATAATGACAGAAACGTGAAGAAAGCTTGAGGGTACAACAATTGAAATGTGAACGTAACAAGTCTAGCATTTTGTTTGGAATAAAAAAAAAACACTAATTTTTTTTTTTTTTTTTTATAATCATTTCAGCATTTACAAAGACAGTATTTGTGGCATCACCAATCCTCTTCTCTAAATATGCACTTTCAATTTCTCTTACACATTATGATTTTTTTACAGGGTGTTATATTTCAACTCTGGTTACAATTATGATCACAGGTCTCAATCTTTTCAACTTTGATATTAATCCATTAATTCCTACAAAAAAAAATCCAATATTAATTATTAAAATTAAAATCTGGTGTTAATTATAGGCTAATAAAAATTATTATTGAATTAGATGAACTTTAGTATAAAAAGATAAAAAGTAAAACCTGAAATCTCTCTAAAATGTAGAGGAATAAAGAAACTAAAATTGACTTGAAAATTAACTCCCAAACAAAATTAAATATAATGCTGACACTATTTTGTAAACACTCTTAAATTTAAATAAAATTATTTAAGCTACAAATACCTGTGAAAATTTCATGCTTTTCCTATTTGAATTTTCTGATGAAACATAATTCTTAAATTAATGATTGAATAAGTTCCTTGCAAGTTCCATGACTACAAAATATGCATGGAAATTTTCCTATTTCATTATTAAATATTTTCAGAATAGTATAAAGGAAAGTCAGTCATATCTTTGGTCCAAACTAGTATCCAACAAAGAGTATTTTAATGACAAAAGTATGCAGGTGTAGGCATTAAGAAAGCTTTATTCAACTGAGAATACAAGGTTCACATATAGTGTCTTTTTATAGTCCCAGTAAACAGAATTAGCTCTCACAAAGAGGAGAGTAACAAAAGAAGGGGAGACTACTCTTGATTATTCATAACAAGTATAAATCACCAATCAAATATTGCATTTGTTTTTTGTTTTTTTTAATTATTCACACTTATAATAAATACATTTCAGCATGCTTCACTGCTCTCTTTGTCAAAGGTGAACATCATGAGATCTTCATCTGTAATGTTTGGATACCAGATGTCTTCATTTTCCTTGCCATTATAGACCACAAACATATCTTGTACTTCTTTCTTAAAAAGAATGTTGTTTTCATTGCTATCCAGTAGTAGTAATGTACACTTCTACCTTATGCAGTGTAAAACATTGGCTACTGGAATATATGCTTGTTTATAATGTTCTTTCTCCAAGAATGAGCTTATTTTTGCTGCAAGCTTCTGGCATTTTTGTGCAAAGAAGCTCAAGTGTTTCCTTTAAATACTGTCGATAGAATTATGTGGATAATTTTGTCAGGTTTTTCAGATTATTACTTTCTATGGATTGTTTTATTCTTTTTCCATGTTTACAAAATATATGTGGAAATTTCCCTATTGTATCATTAAATATTTGAATTTAACAACTTTAAAAATATTACAATAGCAATCATAAATATGAATGCCAAGTCATTATTTAAAGAAGTAAGGGGGTACAAATGAAAAGATTTCAAATTGTCAAGCTTTTCCATTTCATTGATATGAAACATATAAGAATTTTATTACATCGTCTCTTTTTCCTTTCTTTTAATGAAACCAAACAGCATCTCTGATATGTCTCTTCCATCTTCCCTTGCAATCAAAACAGAATAGTTCATTATTTATGAGGTTTTGGCAGGGTGTAA